GGGTCTGAGACAATGTTAGCTTGTTTTTCAATGAAGCTGACGAGATCTACCATCTTTACCTTGTTCCTCTGTTCTTGCAACTCAAATGCCTTTGTGCGCCACCTCTCTCTGAGCTTATATGGGAGCTTGAAAGCAATACACCTCATATTGGAGACTGTGTCCAGTTCTTCCATGAACTTCAAGTCTTCCATACTATTGCAGCAGCTTCTAAGACACAATGCGAAGGCCTGTAAAGCCTTTGGATCTTCTGGCTTGATTGAAGGCCAAGAAAGAGCTTTCTCAATATAAGCACATGAAATCCTATATGCATTACCAAAGTGTTCTTTTAATAGCTGCTTTGCCTTTTGGTAACCTTGGTTCGGTGACATGTGTTGGCAACTTCTTACCAGCTCCTGTGGTAGTCCCCTTGTGTACTGAATGAGAAAATGCAGCCTGTCTGCATTATCATCTGTTTTAGTTTCAATGATGTGCTCAAAAGAATGAAGGAATGACCTGTACTGCAGAATATCTCCACTAAACATTGGAATTTCCCCTCTTGGTAAGGTGGAAAGAAGTTGTTGTTTCACAAGCATGTCTGTCAAGTTGTTTTGTTTTTGAAGAATTTTAGCAAGATCAGGCCCTTGAATGACATTAGATGAAGATGATTCTCTACTTTCTAGAGGTCTTGCTTGAGCTGTATGAGAGATTTGTGCAGGGAGTTTGGAGTCAGTCTTCATGGTGGTGGGTTGTTGAATTGCATTGCTGTTCTGAGGAAAAGAATGTCTTGTAGTCTGAGTTGGTGCTGTAGAGAGTTCATGAAGTGTCTCTTTTGGGCGCACATCTTGTTGCACTGGAGTTTTATCCAACATCTCCTTACAATACACATTCATGGCATCATCTTCAACAGCATTTCCATTGGTTATTGAGGTCTCAGCATACTTGAGATACTCGATTTTTGCGGTGTTGGCTGCAATTTCAGCTTGAACTTCCCACACCTCCTTCATCTTTCTAAGTTCTTCTTCTTTCTTCTCTATAGCATGTTTTTGTTGCAGTGTATTGGCTTTGGCAAGTAAAGCTGCCCTCTCTGCCTCTGCACAGATACGAGCTGAGGCTGATGTTAACACACTTGATCTGCTTAAATTTGATCTGCTAGATCTGCCAGATCTACTGCTACGCACAGACAAGACAACTGAAGTGTTATCATCATCATCATTTAGCTGGTCAGTCACTTTTAGAGCAGAAGAAACTGGAGTACTAGTTTGAAAGTCTGATTCTTCTTGAATATTAGACATCCACTTCTCAACAGTAGAAACAAACATATCAACTTGTTTCATTCTTGGTTCATACCAGGTTTTCAGGTCTTCAACTTTATCCTCTTCACTTAACATTTGTACATATGATTCTTGAAGAGACTTGAATTCAACAAACATTTCATTGAACTTCATCATGTTTCCCTTTACTTCTTCAAGATATTCAGCATCAGTCATCAAAGAGTTAACAATATTAATTCGTCTTGTAAGGTGTGCCATCTTGCCTGCTCTAGAGGCTTTCAAACGAGCAGCAACCTCATTCAAATCTCTTTGAGCTGAGTTTGGGGATTGTTCTAGATAAGACTTGTCCTCCATTTTGTCTCAATCAAGCAAATATCATCTTTCCAAAGACACAAACTTTTCAAATTTCCTTTGATTCCTCTTTAAAATGGCATGCATCAAGACCTTTGAACTCTTCATCAAATTAATCCTTTCATCCACAGTTTGCAGCATCAAACTTGAGTTTTTCCAGTAACATTCAAATTTAACTCAGCACTTTGGTTCCGCAAGCACATACCTCTTTGAGAAGTTTCTTTTGTTCTCTGCTTCCAATGCCATGCGGTCTTCAAACAGTCCATCCACTCCGTTCAGGTTTATGGATAATCCTCCTTTTCTCAAACATATTCCATTTTCAAAGCCAGTCTTTTGACAATTTGTAGTGGTGAAAACAAGTTTCTTGTCCACTGTGGGAGATGCTGATGCTATGGTTCTAACGCGTGCAAAGTACCATGAATAGATCCAGAGAGGCGTGTTGATGTTCCAAACAAATAACTGAAGTTTATTAAATCAAAAATAAAGATGCATTGTAACATAAAACAAAACAAACAACTTTTAGGCCGCTTGCAGGTTTGTTGCACCATGCCACCCTAGCTCCATGTGCACGGTCAAAAGACTGTGTGCTCTTGCACCAGCGCCCCCTTCCTGTCAGGGGTGGCCTATCCTTTATACAACTTTTCCCCTCTCACCTATAGAGGGCACACACTCAGAGAAATAAACACAATTAACAATACAACAACATTCTGATATTTAAATTAACAAATTTATCAAAATTAAATAAGGTGGTAAGTATGGCTCCTACACGCAGGTTCATACAACCCAGCCTAAACAAACTACTTTTCTTGCCTATAAATTTTGATACAGAATTTTGTTTTATTTTATCACTTCGGGGTACGCGAGCCGGAATTCACAGCGCTTTATCTGTAGAGAGGGAAAGGGATCCTCCATAGGGAGAGGATAGTGGATACTTCAGCACTGCATTGTCATGGGGTCCAGGCGAATCTCCTTCGTCAGATCTGGACACGGCCTGGATCCGGCAGGCTGCGGGAAAACCTCGGGATAAACAAAGACACTAATATTAGCGTAGATGCCATTCTTCTTATGATGTAGCGAGTACATCAAGATTTAAGGGAAGTGTTCCCAGTTCCGGCTGACCTAATCTATGCAGCCTAACATTGAATTTATAGAAGTCTATAATGTATTATGTGTATGCTAGGTCAAAGAGATGTGTTTTTAGTCTAGCTTTGAACTGACAGAGTGTGTCTGCTTCCCGGACAATGGTAGGAAGACTGTTCCAAAGTTTTGGTGCTAAATAGGAAAAGGATCTACCGCCTGCAGTCGATTTAGATATTCTAGGGATATATTAATCGAGTACTCAAATAATTTAGCAAGTGAACAATGGCCTTTTCGTCTTCGAGTAATTGGTCGATTGTTTTGACGATTAAACAAGTGAATAAATAGCCTTTTGGTGTTCAAGTAACCGGACGATTATTTTGACGATTAATCGAGTACGCAGATAATTCGACAAGTGAACAATAGGCTTTTGTGGTCAAGTAATCGGACGGTTATTTTGGCGATTAATCGAGTACTCAGATAATGCAACAAGTGAACAATAGGCTTTTGTGGTCAAGTAATCGGACGATTATTTTGACGATTAATCGAGTACTCGGATAATTCAACAAGTGAACAATAGGCTTTTGTGGTCAAGTAATTGGACGGTTATTTTGACGATTAATCGAGTACTCGGATCATTCAACAAGTGAACAATAGGCTTTTGTGGTCAAGTAATCGGACGATTATTTTGACGATTAATCGAGTACGCAGATAATTCGGCAAGTGAACAATAGGCTTTTGTGGTCAAGTAATCGGACGGTTATTTTGGCGATTAATCGAGTACTCAGATAATGCAACAAGTGAACAATAGGCTTTTGTGGTCAAGTAATCGGACGATTATTTTGACGATTAATCGAGTACTCGGATAATTCAACAAGTGAACAATAGGCTTTTGTGGTCAAGTAATTGGACGGTTATTTTGACGATTAATCGAGTACTCGGATCATTCAACAAGTGAACAATAGGCTTTTGTGGTCAAGTAATCGGACGATTATTTTGACGATTAATCGAGTACTCGGATAACTCAACAAGTGAACAATAGGCTTTTGTGGTCAAGTAATTGGGCGATTATTTTGACGATTAATCGAGTACTCGGATCATTCAACAAGTGAACAATAGGCTTTTGTGGTCAAGTAATTGGACGGTTATTTTGACGATTAATCGAGTACTCGGATCATTCAACAAGTGAACAATAGGCTTTTGTGGTCAAGTAATCGGACGATTATTTTGACGATTAATCGAGTACTCGGATAATTCAACAAGTGAACAATAGGCTTTTGTGGTCAAGTAATTGGACGATTATTTTGACGATTAATCGAGTACTCGGATAATTCAACAAGTGAACAATAGGCTTTTGTGGTCAAGTAATTGGACGGTTATTTTGACGATTAATCGAGTACTCGGATCATTTAACAAGTGAACAATAGCCTGGAAACCCGAACAAGCAGCACATGCAGAGAGTGAGTTTGTGTGGAGCAGCATTTACTGTGAATGGAGCCGCTCGGACAAACACGTAACCAGCGCGCATGTGCAAAATTAACGTGCAGCGCATGTATTTATTTAACTGAATCGCAGCCTTCGTGATTTCACAATATACTATGATTTTTAAATGGTTTATATATCGTGCAGTCTTTGAAAACGGTCACAACATTCACAACATTTTGGGTCAATCTGTGCAGCCCTACAAACAAGCACAGCTAATTTAATTTATTTGTATTCATTATTTTATATATATATAGATTTATAATTTAATTTATTTAGGGTTTTTTTTTTTCAGTTTAATTATATTTAAAGTTTTCAATAAATGCAGAAATTAAGACAGCCATAAATATAAGTGGTGTATCTTTCACAGTTGTACTGTTTAATAAATTTTCTTTTGGTATTATTATTGTTATTTTTCTTAAATACTTAATTTTTTTATTTTACATTGAAATATCACAATAGTAATAGTATACACAAAAAGGGACAATTTTAACATGCTATATAAAAATATCTGTGGGGGATTTTGAACACTCTGGGGACATCAGAGGCATTACACCCCCCCCTTTAAGTGACTTAGACTTGCCTATGATATTATTTTTTTCGGTTGCGTCATCTTTAGCAGATGCCCTTTGACCTCTTAGGCCAGGCATTGCCCGTGTTACTCAACCTCCTTCCGTATTGAAGTCTGATGCAAATCTGGAGTTTCCCCTGGAGTTGAGCGTAACCCATGTGACCGTGAATAATTCTTAAAAACACTGGATACTTTTGTACTTTCGATACTTTGTCGAAGGCTCGGGTCAGATGTCATGTGTCAGTGGTTGGGTGTGTTGTGTCCAGCAGAGCGGGGCAGCGAGCGCGGGTCCATCTCGGCTCTGCCGCAGGAGCTGCTCCTCAAGGTGTTCCGCTTCCTGGGTCCGCTGGATCTGTGTCGCTGTGGCCAGGTGTGCAACATCTGGGCTCAGGTGTCCAGGACCGGCTCGCTGTGGAGACACCTGTACCCCGTACGCTGGGCCAGAGGTGCGTCAACACACACTTTACCTGATATATGTGAAGTGAAGATGCACACGGCAAACATGCTTTTCTTACTCAGTATTTTTGTCTTGTTTCCAGTCCAAATATCAAAAAATTCTTAAATCAAGATGCAATAACAAGCAAAATTATCTGCCAATGGGGTGAGAGAAATAATGTTATTTCTGTTTAAATTAAGATTATTTTTCTCACCCCATTGGCAGATAATTTTGCTTGTTTTAAGCATCAACTCACTTAATTTTGATTAATTCTCCAGAAACAGGACATAATATCTTATGCCATGTTACTCATCTAGTAAATGCATCTTGATTTAAGAAATGTTTGATATTTGGACTGGAAACAAGACAGAAACACTGAGTAAGAAAAGCATTTTTTGCAGTGTGTGTAAGTCATCAATTAGATAAAGAAATGAAGTGAGTGAAGAAATGAAGCCAAACACCTTGTAATCACTGTTGACTTGGAATATCACACATCTCGCAAGTTATTTTGGCAAAAACAACATTTAACCAAATTTCAAGGATATTCTGGCTAGAAGTGTGTTACTCATAGCCGGACTATATGTGACCCTGGACCACCAGTCACATGGGTCATTTTTTTTTTTTATTGAGATTTATACATAAACTGAATAAATAATCTTTTCATTGATGTATGGTTTGTTAGGATAGGACAATATTTGGCTGAGACACAACTATTGAAAATCTGGAATCTGAGGGTGCAAAAAATCTAAACATTGAGAAAATCTCCTTTAAAGTTGTGCATTTATGTTGGCGATTGTGCAGCATTCACTCACAGAAATACATGTTTTATATATTTATGGTAGGAAATCTACAAAATATCTTCATGGAACATGATCTTTATTTAATATCCTAATGATTTTTGGCATAAAAGAAAAATCGATAATTTTGACCTATACAGTGTGTTATTGCCACAGATACACCCGCTCGACTCGAGACTGGTTCTGTGATCCAGAGTCACATATACGTTTACACAAGTTTGAAAGTCTCTTCTGCTCACCAAGGCTGCATTTATTTGATTAAAAATACAACAAAAACAGCAATATTGTTAAATATTATGACAATATAGTATAGTAAAGTGTAATTTATTCCTGTGATCAAAGCTGAATTTTCAGTATCATTACTCCAGTCTTCAGTGTCACATGATCCTTCAGAAATCATTCATTTCTGATAAATAAATAATAATAGTGTCAGCTTTGAGTTCATGTGCCTTTATCGCCCCCTTGTGACTTTAAGATGAAAGATATTTTTCCCTTTAGTGTAATGTGTACCAAAGATTGAGCGCATTTAAGCCATGTAGAAAATAAATGTTTATTTGATGGTGTCTTTTAAAAAGATTTTAAATTTAATTAAACATTACATTTATATTTAAATATTAAATGCATATTATTACAACATGAGTTTTTATTTTATTTTATAATTAAGTAACTTTAATTAATTAAAAAACAATAATAGCAAATTATTTTATATTAAAAAACTTTAATTAAAAAATTATATACTACATAGTAAATATTTTATACATTTGTTATATTATAAAATTGATATAATTTTCATTAAAAAAAGTACTGCATTGTTCAAATGATTTTGAAGTATTTTTATACTATAAAACTTTCATTACAAACAGTAGTATACTGCATTAGTGAATAATTTTTTTGATAATTATAAAACTTAAAGAAAATTAAAATACTACTTTAACCTTAACTTTTACTTGAACGTTTTATAATTAATTCTGAAAAACATTTACTTTTTTTAATTACAAACAGTAGTATACTGCATTAGTGAATTATTTTCAAAATATATTTAAAACCGTAATATACTACATTAGCGAATTATTTGTATAATTCTTTTTATATATATATTATGAAACTAATTTCAAACACCATTAGTGAATTATTTTTTAAATGTTTTTTTTAGAATTAATTAACTTTAAAAACAGTAGTATACTGCATTAATGAATTATTTTTTAAATATATTTACAATTAATTATAAAACTTAAATTACATTTTTTTATACTATAGTGAATTGTTTTTATAATTTTTTTATTTAATTATTATTATATTATAAAACTTTAATTAAAAATAGTACTATACTGCAGTAGTGAATTATATTTAAACTATTTTTATAATTATAAAACTTTAGTGAAATACTAAATTAGTCAATTATACAAAATTATTTAAAAAAAACATTATAAATATAATTATAAAACTTTTATTAAAAATGTTGATATTTTTATATTTTATATATACATTTAAATTTTTTGTTTTATTATTTTTTATTATTAATTATTTAAATTGTTTTTAAAAAAACTGCATTACAGTAACATGTTTAATGCATTTATATTTTTTGGTTATTATTTTATTTATTTATGAATGAAATTGTAATTAAAACTGCATTATTGCCACGTGTATAATGCACTTATATTTTTTAGTTTTTAATTGTTTTTATTACTTTTATTAATTAAGTAAATTGTAAATAAAAAACGGCATTAATGCCACGTGTTTACTTCAGGACGGTATCCAATCATATAAAACATATAAAGCGTTATTTTACATTTTTAATGCAGTTTTAATAGAGAACATTGAAGGTCGAGTCGAGAATGTTGCATTGTGGGATACAGCACCAGTGTGTATGCTGCCTGTAGGTCACGTGTGATTGGTTGTGATGGTGTTTGTAGGGGACTATTACTGTGGTCCTCCGGGCGAGTTGGACCAGGAGCCGGATGATGATTGGGTGAAGAGTCTCCAGGACGAGGGACGAGCCTATCAGGAGTGGGACGAGGACGCAGACGTGGACGAATCAGGTGAGCCTTCGCTTAGAACTACATTTCCCATGATCCCGCGGCCCGTAGCTGTGAAATAAACATGCTTACTGACCCCGAACACTCATTTTAAGTAGTGCTGGGTAAAAAAATTAGATTTTTCGATTAATAGTTTTTTAAAATGTGGTTCTCAAAGGCCACAAATCGATTTTTTTCCATATTTATTTCTCTATCACCCAAAAGCCAGTGTTAGTTTCCCTCCACTGCTCATGCTTGCATGTTACAGATAATGCTGGGAGATTATATGTGTTTTATCTTAAACATAAAGTAACCTGATGGTGTTTGATCAAGGCGTGCCACTGTCTATTCATTGTATGCATTTGACATATAGAGTTGGGTTCTGTTTTAATGTACACCTAAAATAAAAAGAGGTTTATATACAGGTTTAATTTCTTTATTAATAATGAACCACTTTTAAACTTCTGTGTGTTCAGAGGAGGCGAGTGAAGGGTCTCCAGCCATTAATGCGGTTCAGAGAGAGAAGACTCTTCTCGACGGGATGATCCAGAAGCTTCTGCCTGTCGTCGGCTCATCCGTTCGTTCGCTCGGCCTGGCCTACAGCTCCACCGTCTCCAGCAAGATGGTGCGTTACTCAGTTCATGTGATCAACACACACTCACACATGACCAAACTGAGCACTGAAGAGGAGTCGTGATTCAGTGACTCACTCATAAAGACTTCACTTGTTTCATTACTGGATGAATCAGCGTTTTTGAACGAATCTCTTGAATGATTCAGTGACTCACTGATAAAGACTTAACTTGTTTCATTACTGGATGAATCAGTGTTTTTGAACAAATCTCTTGAATGAATGATTCAGTGACTCACTCATAGACTTCACTTGTTTCATTACTGGATGAATCAGCGTTTTTTTAATGAATCTCTTGAATGAATGATTCGGTGACTCACTCATAAAGACTTAACTTGTTTCATTACTGGATGAATCAGTGTTTTTGAACGAATCTCTTGAATGATTCAGTGACTCACTGATAAAGACTTAACTTGTTTCATTACTGGATGAATCAGTGTTTTTGAACAAATCTCTTGAATGAATGATTCAGTGACTCACTCATAGACTTCACTTGTTTCATTACTGGATGAATCAGCGTTTTTTTAATGAATCTCTTGAATGAATGATTCGGTGACTCACTCATAAAGACTTCATTTGTTTCATTACTGGATGAATCAGTGTTTTTGAACGAATCTCTTGAATGATTCAGGGACTCACTGATAAAGACTTAACTTGTTTCATTACTGGATGAATCAGTGTTTTTGAACAAATCTTTTGAATGAATGACTCAGTGACTCACTCATAGACTTCATTTGTTTCATTACTGGATGAATCAGCGTTTTTGAACGAATCTCTTGAATGAATGATTCAGTGACTCACTCTTAGACTTCACTTGTTTCATTACTGGATGAATCAGCGTTTTTTTAATGAATCTCTTGAATGAATGATTCGGTGACTCACTCATAAAGACTTAACTTGTTTCATTACTGGGTTAATCAGTGTTTTTGAACGAATCTCTTGAATGATTCAGTGACTCACTGATAAAGACTTAACTTGTTTCATTACTGGATGAATCAGTGTTTTTGAACAAATCTTTTGAATGAATGACTCAGTGACTCACTCATAGACTTCACTTGTTTCATTACTGGATGAATCAGTGTTTTTGAACAAATCTCTTGAATGAATGATTCAGTGACTCACTCATAGAGTTCACTTGTTTCATTACTGGATGAATCAGCATTTTTTGAACAAATCTCTTGAATGAATGATTCAATAACAAGCACATGTTTTAACAGTCACTTGTCTCCACCTACTGGTGTAATGATGTAATGATCACATGGGTGTTTGAATCAAGATTGCGATCTTAATCGTACAGCTCTAATATATCTATGAAATCTAGTTAAATATATAAGTTATTTGACTATTAACCATATTTAACTGGTCTATCCTGCTTTTAAACTCATGATTTTTTATTATTACATTTAATTAATAGTTGTTTTTAAACGTATCTGGGAACAATGAAATAATATAATATATAATAATATTTTCTCCTTCCAGGTGCGACAGATCCTCAGTTTGTGCCCAAACCTGACACACCTGGACCTCACGCAGACTGACGTCTCTGACTCCGCCTTTCACAGGTTGGCTCTTCTAATTAATTGTTCAAAACGTTTGGCATTGACTGCTCATATCGGCGTGTTTGTGTATTTGATATACTGTAATGCATGTTGATTTTGTGGAGCCCACTTGTTTCATTACTGGATGAATCAGTGTTTTTGAACGAATCTCTTGAATGAATGATTCAATGACTCACTCAAATAGACTTCACTTGTTTCATTACTGAATGAATCAGTGTTTTTGAACGAATCTCTTGAATGAATGATTCAATGACTCTCTCATATAGACTTCACTTGTTTCATTACTGGATGAATCAGTGTTTTTGAACGAATCTCTTGAATGAATGATTCAATGACTCACTCATATAGACTTCACGTGTTTCATTACTGGATGAATCAGTGTTTTTTAACGAATTTCTTGAATGAATGATTCAATGACTCACTCATATAGACTTCACTTGTTTCATTACTGGATGAATCAGTGTTTTTGAACGAATTTCTTGAATGAATGATTCAATGACTCACTCATATAGACTTCACGTGTTTCATTACTGGATGAATCAGTGTTTTTTAACGAATTTCTTGAATGAATGATTCAATGACTCACTCATATAGACTTCACGTGTTTCATTACTGGATGAATCAGTGTTTTTGAACAAATCTCTTGAATGAATGATTCAGTGAGTCACTCATAAAGTCTTAACATTTTGATTTTGTGGATCCCATGAATATTATAGTTACTCGTTGTGTTTTTCCAGCTGGGCGGAGTTCGGGGTGTGTCATACTCTAGAGCATCTGGATCTGTCGGGTTGCGACAAAATCACCGACCGCACGCTGAAGATTCTCTCACTGGGATTGGGCGACTTAACAGCGTCCAATCCGGATCGCAGAGCCAAACTGCTGAAAGCCTCGCCCTCTCCCATCAAACTACAAGATGAGCACTCCCTTCAGCCAATAGGACGCAGCTGCCAGGATCTCATATTCAAGCGGAGACCTGGTGGGCGTGGCTCAGGCTGTGGCCCCGCCCACGTGTGGGTTCTTGATCCGGCGAAACTAGCCGACATCGAGGACGCCGCCGACTGGAGCAAACCAGGGGGCGTGTCTACACAGGAAAGTGGGCGTGGTCACATTTTGGAGTCGCAGGGAGGCGGCGGCTCATGCTGTTGTAGGAGGAGCCGGAGGCGGAGCTTCAGGACTGGTATAAGCTCCTCCCACTGGCAGTATGGCTCAATGGGTGACGCCCACTGTGGTCACTCCAGCTGTTGCACATCAGATGTGTCGCTCTGGACTGTGAGAGAAACGCACTGTGACCTCCAGGCCAAAGGGGGCAGTGTTGATTTTCGGACTAAATGCTCGTTTGAGGGTGAATCTTGCCCTGATCGTCACAACAGGACTGACCAATCAGGAGCCTTTCGAACACTCCGGTTCCTCAGCCTGTCGGGATGCTATCAGATCACGGATCTCGGCCTGAGGTACAGACCAAACACCGCCACGATATAATAGGGGCTTTCGCACCGGAGGATCCTTTTCATAGTTCCTAGAACTATTGGCGCCAGTTAGGAAACTAGGAATAATTTTAGCTCTAGGAAGTCCTTTTGGAGGAACTGATTTACTCCTTCTTTAGAGTCGGGTCTAGACCAGTACTATAGGAACTACAGTGACGTTAGTGTTCGCTGATTGGCCGAACGCACGCGAAACACCAGCAGCAACCGCCATTTAAAAAAAAGCTAAACACACAGATTATAGCCATTATATTAACTCCAGAAACTAACTCTACGAACAGTGATAGAGGAAGCTCTTAACCTTTACTCCAACACGGCTTTGAGGAGACCGAGAGAAACATGATTATGTATTTCTGGACATCAAACACACGGCGTACGCTAATAACTCTTCATATACGGTTTACTTTCCATGTATAACAGTTCAATCTCATATAGTATTCGACAGGACTGTTAGATAGATCGTACACTAGTGAACACGGAGAATACGAGCACTGGCGTTCTCAGCGCCGTCAAAATAAAAGTCACAACAACAAGCGCGTCTCACGTCACTTCAGAGTTCAGGCGGTGCGAACGACACCAGGAACATGTTCCTATGGGAATCATTAGTCCTCTGGGAAACACCCTGGTTTCTGTCTTGTTTCCAGTCCAAATATCTAAAAACTCTTAAATCAAGATGCATTTACTAGATGAGTAAAATGATAAGATATTATGTCCTGTTTTCTGGGAGAATTAATCAAAATTAAGTGAGTTGATGCTTAAAAAAAGCAAAATTATCTGCCAATGCGGTGAGAAAATTATCTTAATTTAAAGCTGCAGTCCGTATCTTTTCCTCTTTGTCGCCATCTCTCTGTTCGAAATCTGTAACTGCAGTGATTCGCTGAATTATCATCTTTACGTGGGTTGTAAATCGGCATGAAACAGCGCGGATGAACACAGTGTTTTGAGGCGAGTGCTGCTGTCAGTCACCGCGCTGTGTGGATACTGTCATAATCACAGATTCACTTTTTGAAAGTTTGACCAACATAAGAATTTTCATAAGAAAATGTCTTCTGAACAAGTAAGTAAAATCCATTTTTGTTCTGACCAACTAAGGGGGAAAAAGCCTTCGACATGATAAGCTTCGTTAGATTTAATCAACGCGATTTACAGCAACCGTGCAAATTATAGTCTACTTTGTTCTCAAATTGTTCATGTTAACAACATCAGCATTGCGTGACTAATGTTAAATTTAATGTGTTTTATGGTTACCTGTGTAGTTCAGAATTCATATTCTCCATAATAGCAAAACGAGAAAGGCACAACAAAGGAAACTCCATAACTGTGTGAATTAAGAAAACGTACTGTTACACGATTGAACTATTGAAATGTCTTACTTGTTCAGCAGAAAAAAGCCGTCTCTTCTTCCGTTTCGAACCCCTTCAAAACACGGAGTTCACGCACTTTTCAAAAGCCCCGCCGATGTTTAAATCCTTGTGTTCGCATGAGACGGTTTCTTTCTCTTTCTCTAGCCACCTTAAATCCGAAGTACGAAGTCTTTTGGGTTTTATAACTGCTGAATCTCCAGTTGACACTGATGATTGTTGTTTGGATCTTTCTGGATCCGCCATAAGTTTAATTATGTAAAGTGCTGCGAGAAAAGCCTATACATCTAAACATCTCGTCACGCGCAGTATTGCTAGCCGAAACTCCTTCTTTATGTGTACGGGTGTGACGTCATGACGCAAAGACATGCTCGAATTTCCTGCGGAAACCCACCAGTACCACTGGAATTAAAATCATTATTACAAGCTAACCGTTTTGAATCTAGCTATGGCAAGCAGATAGTTTTGACCACTGGCAGAATAAGTTTTTTTTAATATAATTATTTTGGATTATTTTTAACTTAAAAAAGTTACGGACAGCAGCTTTAAACAGAAACATTATTTTTCTCACCCCATTGGCAGATAATTTAGCTTTTTAAGCATCAACTCACTTAATTTTGATTAATTCCCCCAGAAAACAGGACATAATATCTTTTCATTTTACTCATCTAGTAAATGCATCTTGATTTAAGAGTTTTTAGATATTTGGACTGGAAACAAGACAGAAATACTGAGTAATAAAGCATATTTTGCAGTGTAGTTCAGGTGCGAAAGCCCCTAATGATTTCAGCTGTCTAAATTTATTGTTTGTTTAATTTCGTTGTTTTTTTACTAATTGTGATACCTCAGTAAAGTGTGTGTGTGTGCGTGTGCGTGTGCGTGTGCGTGTGTGTGTGTGTGCGTGTGCGTGTGCGTGTGCGTGTGCGTGTGCGTGTGCGTGTGCGTGTGTGTGTGTGTGTGTGTGTGTGTCAGGTGTCTGTCTCAGCGTGGAGGACTCCCTCTGCTGGAGCATCTGAATCTGTCGGGCTGCCTGCTCATCACGGGGGCGGGGCTTCAGGAGCTGGTGTCCGCTTGCCCCGCCCTCAACACACAGCACTTCTACTACTGCGACAACATTAACGGTAACACACCCTCACACACACTCACAGTGCTGAGCATAATGATACATGTGACCCTGCACCACAAAACCAGTCACATGGGGCAAGTTTTTGATTTTGAGATGTATACATCATCTGAAACTGAATAAATAATCTTTCCATTGATGTATGGTTTGTTAGGATAGGACAATATTTGGCTGAGACACAACTATTGAAAATCTGGAATCTGAGGGTGCAAAAAATCTAAACATTGAGAAAATCCCCTTTAAAGTTGTGCATTTATGTTGGCGATTGTGCAGCATTCACTCACAGAAATACATGTTTTATATATTTATGGTAGGAAATCTACAAAATATCTTCATGGAACATGATCTTTACTTAATATCCTAATGATTTTTGGCATAAAAGAAAAATGGTTAATTTCGACCCATACAGTGTGTTATTGCCACAGATACACCCGCTCGACTCGAGACTGGTTCTGTGATCCAGAGTCACAAATATGTGATTTATATTATATTATATTATATTATATTATATTGTATTGTATTGTATTGTATTATATTATATTATATTATATTATATTATATTATATTATATTATATTATATTATATTATATTATATTATATTATATTATATTATATTATATTATATTATATCTCTGGTGTTCGCTTGCCACGTCCTCGACACACAGCACTTCTACTGCGATAACATTAACAGAAACACACCATCACACACACACACACACACACACACACATATAGACAGAACACACTCAACAGTGCTGAGAATAATGAGAAATACTAATAGTTATGAACACACAACTTAGTGCAATCCATAATTAACGGCAAATACATCACCTTTAATTAATAAATAACTCACTAACAAGCACATGTCGAATCTCTGAATATTAAATCTCTTTATGTTCTGATATATCATAATTTCCCAGACTGGGTTTCCTGAGTTGATGAAAACCTATTAATAATAGATCGTTCTATATTTCGATTGTTTCGAAAATATATTATGTATGATATAACTAAAATTATTTAGTTTGATTTGACATTTTTATTACTTAATTTTATAAATAAAAAGTTTAAATATATAGAATATAATAGCACTTTCTAAAATAACGTGACCATTAACTGACGTCAGAACAGTTTTATTTATTTTTTACTATTATAGTTTTATTAATAATAGAAGTTTGTCGTTTTTGTCATTTGTATCAGTTATTCATTTTTATTTTATCTCTAGTTGTTTTATTACATCCTTATACTAAAAAAATGAAAAATGTTGCCATGGCAACCAGCATTTTTTTTATATATACTTTGTTATATTTCAGTTAATGTTTATTTTATTTCGGATAATTTATTCCTTCATCCGAGAACCGTGAACTTTGTGAAAGTCTTTTAGCTCACATGTGTTCGGCTGACAAAACACTTTGTAAACCCTTGAGTCATATAAATGTGTTTTATGATATGTGATGTGTGATATGATGTGATATGATACACAATTCCACATGTGAAGTCCAAACCCAAGCATGACGTCGTCTCGGTAAGTAAAGGGTGGGTTTGTTACGAATCCTGTTTTTATCTAACGCAAAAATGTAAGATAGCTCGTATACTAGTTTCATTTTGTTTACTTATAGCATTTTTTAGTCCATACACCGCAAAACATGCTTTCTTACTCAGTGTTTCTGTCTTGCTTCCAGTCCAAATATCAAACATTTCTTAACATTTCATTTACTAGATGAGTAAAATGACACAAAATATGAAGTCTAAGTCCATTTGCCATTGCATGTTTAAAACAATAATATCTTAGTAAAAACCTAAAGTAATATTGCCAAACTATATATCATTTGAAAGCTTAAAATCTCTAGTTTTCATATTTGGTGGCTGTTATATAAAATAAATTACAGAGGAGCAGAAATTTATCAATTTGCAACAAGAATATTTCATATTCATTAGGAGTATTTAGGCCTTTATTTTGAAATAACAATAAACACGAAAAATCATGAAAGATTGGTAGAAACCTCAGTTTGTTTTCATGCCATGAGTTCAAAAGATAACACCAATTCCATTTTATGAGAAAAATGTATGGATTCTCGATTTCTGATTGGCTGCGAGCTATAACGCTATAACGTAGTCTTTTTATGCATTTATTAGAGGTTGAATTCAAATCAAATACTGCCAAACCACCCATACTACTTCTGAATAGGATGTCTACTTCATAAATTGTATGAAAATTATGGAAATACATGGTTCAGATCACTCAAAACATATATGAAAATGGAGGCGCCCTTCTATGGGCAGTAATGGAGTCTAGTGAAAAAGTTGGGTACTGCGCCCAAATAAAATCTTACTGAAAGCTCCTTTTTTTAGATATCAACCTAAAATTTGGAATACAACTTGTTCAGATTCTTGTCTTTAATTTTCTTGCAGTTTTTAGAGTAAAATATATTTTGTAATATATATATTTTATATAAAATATTAATAATTATATTTTTACATTACACCATTTCATAAACTCAAACTTATATAACTTTTTTTCTGTTTCATTTTTTATCATTTCTAGACTTCTACAATAATCTGGAACATGTCTTCTTTAAAACAAGACCAGCCATAGGTCTATATTCCAAAGCATTCCTGAATTAAAACCATTTAAGTTTGGATAGTGATTTTTATGTCTATGCAAAAAAAAGGGGGGTGCCAGTTAACAGGTTAAATAAATAAATAAATAAAAAGTGAGTTTTTGCTGAAAACAAGCAAAAATTATCTGCCAATGGGGTGAAAAAAATAATGTTTCTGTTTGAATTAAGGGAAACACTTTACTTGAAGGGGTGTACATAAGACTGACATGACACCTTTATAACCATGACATGACATATGTTATGAATATGAAGTAGGGTTTATGCATGTTTATGACAACTGTCATTAAGTGTCTTTCGCTCAATAATGACATTTTGAATGCAAATATGACATTGTTTAAGATGTCTTTGTTATGACACCTTGACATAAACCATAACATCATAACCTGTCAGTGTCTTTGTCAATTCCCAATTCCCCCGGAAAACAGGACATAATATCTTATACTCATCTAGTAAATGCATCTTGATTTAAGAGTTTTTACATAGTGTTTCTGTCTTGTTTCCAGTCCAAATGAGTAATAAAGCATGTTTTGCAGTGTGTGTGTATATTTACACTTAGTTCTTCTCAGTTTGATAGTAAATCTCGTCTGTGAGTTCATTAATGGGAACTACATGTCATCTCCCAGTGTGTGTAACTGGTCTCGCTCTGTGGTCCGCAGGTCCTCACGCAGACACGGCCAGCGGATGCCAGAACCTGCAGTGTGGCTTCAGGGCTTGCTGTCGATCCGGAGAGTGATGCTCTTCATCCCCCTTCCCGTCTCTCTCCTCGGCTCCCGGTCCCATCCCTCATCATCCACGTGCACTTTAAGCCGGAAATTGCTTCAAGATGCTCTTCGACGCAGTTCGGTTTCACTAAAATCAAATAAAGTGAAATTCTGCTTTGTAAACCGATCCATGAAAGGTGTTGTGAAGGAACTAAATGATGTATATTTGTAAATAATTCATAATTGTCTGTTCAGACGCTCTTTAATCGGAAACTTTATGAAATGTTTACTTACTCCAACATCGTGTGGGTTGTTTTTTGTTGCGAGTATTTCACCCAGGCACATCTCGAGTGTGTACACTGCAAACATGCTTTTCTTAGTCTCGTTTCCAGTCCAAATATGTAAAAATTCTTAATTTACTACATGAGTAAAATTATAAGATATTATGTCCTGTTTTCTGGGGGAATTAATCAAAATTAAGTGAGTTGATGCTTAAAAAAAGCTAAATTATCTGCCAATGGAGTGAGAAAAATAATGTTTCTGTTTGAATTAAGATTATTTTTCTCACTCCATTGGCAGATAATTTTGATTTTTTTTAAGCATCAACTCACTTAATTTTGATTAATTCCCCTGGAAAACAGGACATAATATCTTGATTTAAGAAATGTTTGATATTTGGACTGGAAACAAGACAAAAATACTAAGAAAAGCATGTTTTGCAGTGTAACTCCTCCATCTCCGTCTCAAGAACCATAACTTTGGGTATGATGTTTTAATCACCTGCGCAAAATAGGAAAAATGCAATTCACGAGCTTGTTGAGTTGGGGTTCGTCAAATAAATCAGGTGTTTTGGAAAACAAAAAAGCTGTATTCGTTATGTTCATCTATAGGATTTAACCAGATATATTTCTCTAGCTTCACTGAGCGAGACTTCACCTGTGATGGCAATATCTGGCAACCATGTCGCAGCGTTTTCCAAGATTTCTCACTTGGGTTGGTTTAAAGGGCTTGTGAACTGTAATAAGACCTGGGTATATTACACTTGTTCATTTCCAGAGGTTTTAGATGCTGCATGATCTGTTTCTTTTGCGTAGCTGACCATTAAACGCACCTTGACAGAACATGCGTCTGTGTTGAAGTGTTTATTGAGCGTATGGTGGTCCAAAAGAGTGTCCATATGACTTGTATATCTCAAATTATGTGATGCTTTGCAAATTTAAGTCATTTTGGTAAGTAAATAAAGACAGGATTGTCATTCTTTGGTGATCTAATCCCTTTATTGGAAACTGACATGTTTGAAAAGTTAGTTCCTACCTTCATTTAACATCAAAACACAACAAAACAACACAACAGACGTAAATGAAATGTAAAACGCACGTCTTTAGCCATTTTCAACAAATATTTTTCGCCAGGACCTGAACAAGTAATGCCAGCACTTGCCTATTCTATTCTATTAGTTGTTCTGATATATATATTAAAAAAATTGTGATGTTAACTGTGCTAGACTAACTGAGACTTCTTACACACTGAAAAAAATGCTTTTCTTACTCAGTATTTTTGTCTTGTTTCCAGTCCAAATATCAAACATTTCTTAAATCAAGATGCATTTACTAGATGAGTAAAATGACATAAGATATTATGTCCTGTTTTCTGGGGGAATTAATCAAAATTAAGTGAGTTGATGCTTAAAAAAGGCTAAATTATCTGCCAATGGGGTGAGAAAAATAATTTTAATTTAAACTGGAACAATATTATTTTTCTCACTCCATTGGCATATAATTTTGCTTGTTTTAAGCATCAACTCACTTAATTTATTTAGCACTGTTGCCCTCTTGATTGCTCTCCTCAGTTGTAAGTCGCTTTGGGTAAAAGCGTCTGCTAAATGATTAAATGTAAAACAAATGTAAATACTAAACACAAGTGCAGTATCTTAAAGTCCCCCTGTGTTGAAAATCCAGCTTTTAATGTTGTTTATGTGTCTATGTGGTGTTTTTAATCTGCTTTAAGACAAACCATGTGTAAGTTCATAAGTCGACAGCATTGCTGAGTATTTTCTGCTTAAAACTGCAGTGAACCAAAGACAGTCTCAAAAACACGGTTTGAAATCGCTGGTGTTTCTGACGTCACAAACGACCTTGTAACCAATCAGATCAACGTGTGATCGTCAACCAGTGGATCTCTGAGCTGAGGGAGTGAGTGGAGGCGGGGCTCATTTGCATATTCATAGTACCGCGAATACTAAATGAGGCAAGGGTGTCGAGTTACATTCAAGATATTTTAAGACATGAAGTTTTTTTTTCCAAGGAGAAAAAAAAACCCATTTAAATATGTAATTTTGGTGATCAAAGATGAGTTTTAAGGGATACAATGATTGACTACAGGAGGACTTTAAAAACACAATCTCTAAAGTGTCAAGCCAGCAAAAAAGTCAGAAGCTTTAGCGTTGAGTATCATTTTCTTGCAGCACTGTTGCTAATGCCATATCATTTATTTTTCAACCAGGACAACATTTTTATTCTGGACTATACAAAACCGAAACGTTTCTTTAATAGACGTAATTTTCTCTTCGGGACCGCTGGCATCTCACTTTCCGCACCTGGGATATTTGTTTCTGTTTTTCTGTGTCTTTGATTTATACTTGTGTTGTGGTCAACTACTTGCAGTGAGCCGCCGGCTTACAGTCCACAAAATGTTGCGCTTGATCCCTGAAAGAGCCCAAATCCTGGATAGAGGGGTTGAGTGAACCTGGTTTGGACCCGGTGTAGGAGGATCATGGTGTCTGAGACGCTGTAGAAGGACAGCAGTCCTGCCCGGTGATCCAGGTACACCCCGATCCGGTGGGACAGGGGTGCGTCCACCTCCACCTCCTCGTTATTGTGCACTAGTGCATATCTGAATATTGTACAGTCCAAACTCCAGGATTGTCTGTTGTACCCAAACCCGCTGTCGTCGTCTTGCCCAGTTCTGCTGATGTCTTTGTAAGACACTGCGATGTCCACGCCATATTGCCCGGTCCACACCACCTCCCAGTAGCATCGGCCCGTCAGCCCTTTCTTGCTCAGTACTTGGGCCCACCACTCGAACCTGTCCTGGTGCTCAGGGTATGACTGGGGCTCAATGCTGCAATCCACACCCTGGTTCTGCTCCGATAACCGGAGGTTCCTATGGGCCGTGTTTGGGTCCAGACTCAAGGAGACCAGAACTGATTGGAGAGGAGAGACAAGGTGAAAAAACAAAACCCAGGTAAAGCTCGGCCAAGACCAGTTTATACACGCTTAATCCCACCTAGGAGGGAATAGGGATTTTCCTATTGTACCTTTTGCCTTTCATGGAGAAAGTGTAGGTTCTTTTTAAATTTGAGCAAAAAGAATAACTTACACTTTAGAAAGTCCTCCCTCGTTTTGGGTTCTTGTGGCAGTAGGATCTTCTCTGCAGTCACTAGAGAGATGTAAGGTGTAAGAGAATGGATCCGTTATATGGGAATATGCAGACTTTTTCGCAAGGAATGGGAGACGCATAGGATTTTGTAAATCATGAGTGTTCTGTGAAGTATGTGGCCCCTTAGGCAGGACCCAGAGAGGAACATATTGTTGCCCAGATCCGGCCCACAACTGGTGCGCGTGGAGTCCACATGTACCAGATGTGGCCCAGATCTGGGCCGACACTATGTTGCTGTCTGGGGGCCCTCAAGGGCCACTATCCCTGCAGAGTTTAACCCCAACATGAATCAAGCACACCTGCCTGTAGTGTTCAAGCAGTCTGGTTGGACTCTTCAGGTGTGTTTGATAAGACTTACATGTACATTTATGCATGCAAGGTGTACATTTTTACATTCTTATCAGTTCTTGCTTTCCCTGGGAATCGAACCCATGACCGTGGTGTTGCAAGTGCCAATGCTCTACTGTTTGACCTACAGGAAAGCAAGGACAGTGAAAGCTAAACTCTGGAGGAGAGTGGCCCTCAGTGCCTAGAGTTGCCCATCACTGCACTGAGGGGACATGGAAAAGATGAATACGAGACGAAGAGGAAAAGTTACATTTCAATGCTTTTGCTTTCCCCTGAGAATCTTTTGAGGTCTCTCACAATCATTTGCATTTCCCTGAGAAACTTTGTGTAGGGTTTTGTGGGGGAACGCAAAACTTTTGCGAGGGAATGCATATGCATTGAAATATAATTTCCATAAAGTACAGATGCTGAACCACACTTACAAATAAAGGTTCCAAATTGGGGTTTTGTAGTAATACAATAGGACAATTCTGAACCTTTGAAAAGATACTGGGGACAGTTCTTAAACTAAGCATTTCTTCTTGCACTGGGAATGTTTCATGGATGTTAAAAGTTCTTCATGGATCCGTTGATGCCAAATAGAAACCTTTATTTTTAAGAGTATAGTTATACACTACTTTTGACAGCCCACCTACCAACTGTTAAGATACAGATGCTGAAATCTGCCAATTCTTAGGCCAGTGACTGGCTGCTATCCAACTTCTGGGAGTACTTGTTGCTTTTGGATAGATGGAAATTAAGACCACAAAGATCTAGTAGTAGTCCCGTACTTTGAATTAAAACTGACCACGTATGTGGACTAACTTTTTCATAAAACATTAGTTTTTACCTGCTGAGAATATCCTGGTCATTTCCAGTCTCCAAATGTCCTCTATTTGAGCTTTTAATGAGGAGAGGGACTTGATCACTTCTCCAAAGGAGAACTGTGGATTAGTGGTTAGGCTGGGAAAGTCGGGACACTGCGAAGTCGGCCAGCGAGATTCGACCTCCTACGAGATTTGGAGACAATCACGAGTGGCGATAAGGGTGCTAAACAGATTGAGAATTAGTCCTTTGGTTTCTGAACTGTTTGCTCGTCACAGGAATCAAGCAAGCAACCCTCCGATAACAAGCTCTGAGCTTGAGTCGCTACATGAGCCCAGTCCCAATTAGTTGAAAGACTTTGATAATATTGATTCCATTTGTTGACCATAAGGCTTTTATTCATATTTAGAAACAAATAAAGATATTTGTAATATTCGCTCATCATTTCTGTCCATTTATTGAAAGACATAAAAGTTATCCAAGTGATTCAGGCTGTTTCAGAAGCTCAAACGTGTGCGCAAGCGAGAGAACCAATGATGTTTGTTCTTGTACTTGACGAACGCACGTTTGAGCTTCTGTTAACCATATAAGATGTGCTTTATGTGTTTATGTGTGAAAAAACTACAAAATTCAAATTTGTTTATCATAGAAAGCGGCTGACTTGGACTGAACCTGCTCGCACTGTGTAACACTTAAGGTGAAGTTTTCCAAACCTTTTGTTATACTGTCCTATGAAAAGGCTCAACACTTATTGTTTTTTAAGAGAATACTTAAGGGAAAAATAGATATTTAAGGGAAATTCTCAGGGTGTTTGACGTTTCACCTAAAGAACCTCTTAAGGGTTATTTTTTGCAACACCCTTAAGTTTAAGGGAAACCCAAGCGCGTTCTTAAAGGTACACTGTGTAGTTTTTTAAGTATTTTATTGGCTAAAATCAATGTCTTTATTCATAAATATGTCCTCATTGGTGTAAAATAACCTCTACCAAAGATCTGACTTATCCTCGTAAGCGAAGAATTTCTTATCTTTAATTACATGGGACGGGTAAGTCCATGGAGGCTTCCATGTCGTTCCGCCATCTTGAAAAACTATAATAGCAGAGAGGGACGAAAAGCACTAGCCTACCTAAACACGTTTCCACGACGCGTTTTTGTTCAGAGCTAGCGTCACGTGACTGAAACCAGCTGAAACGGACAAGGAGATCAGATAATGCAGGATCATACTTATGCCGAGCTACTGGAGAAGGAATCCTCGTCGCCAAAAGAATTAATTTAAAAGGAAACGTGACTGGCGAATTCAAAAAAACGAGGGTAAATATTGGGATGGCTTTTCCCAGGTGGAAAGAGCTAATGAAGGAGAAAGACTTTGAAGTTGCCGGGTTTCTTCTCGACAGGTAAGTCAATGTTACGGTCTAAATTACAAGCTTTTTTTCATTGCTTGGTTGTGTAATTCATTATATAGGCAGCATAACAGTACAACATGTATAGGTAAACTCGATGTAGTGCTATTGGAAGACATGTTGTCTTCTTGGTACATGACGGCTACCGTAGTTGAAACACGCATTTGAAAAAGAGAGGCGCTAGAGCACTATTCGTTTGAATGCAAAATACAATTTCACAGCTAGATGGGAGAAATTCCTACACAGTGCTAGCCTGGATGCCAGCCGAACTTAGCCCTGCCCACAACATCTGAGGATGGGAAGTTCGGTCTGGACTTGATCCGTTGTGGAGTAACTGTGCTCGAACCAGAGCTGTTCGGACCAATCAAATTGTCAGGGCGGGCTTTATACGGTGATGGACAGATGATCAACAGTAACGTAATCATCCACGTCACCAAAGAACACTTGGGTTCAATTCGTTTACAACAAAGATGGCTGCCGCTGGAGAACTGAAATGTGTAGATTCAGCCATCACGTCTGTTATAGAAGATGTAGACAGCGCATTCATTTTAAAAGAGTAACAGAGAACCGCGATCAAGGCATTTGTCGGTCGGAAAGATGTTTTTGCCGTCCTTATACGGGATTCAACATACGTCACTTACTCCGTTGCTCTGAATAGTTGTAGTTCTATCCAATTGAGTGTAGAGGCTGTTTCTTTCCTGGTTCAGTTGAAACACGCCCCATAATCACATCCCAATGGAGCAGTATCAGACTCACATGCTGACTAGAATCTGAGTATGAAGGCGTCAGGCTAACACAGTGTACCTTTAAGGGAAAATTGCACTTAAGGTGCTTTATGCAACCGGGCACTGGTCCTGGAGGGCCAACGTCCTGCAGAGTTCAGCTCCAACTTTTCTCAACACACCTGCCTAGAAGATTGCGGTAATCCTTAAGACCTTGATTGGTTCAGGTGAGTTTAATTGGGGCTAGAGCTCAACTGTGCAGGACAGTGGCCATCCCTGAGCAGGATTGGACACCCCTGTGTTACCTGGAGGAAGTAAATGTGATCATCAGTATGAGAGAGCTGCTCCAGCTCGGACTGTTTCATCCTCAGCTTTGAGATCTCCTGTTCCAGACCTTCCGAATGTCCCTGAATTCGGTCCAACTCCGTGGTCATCTGAGTTTGGACCAGCACAATCATCTCTGTGTGGCTTTTCCGTATAAAGCCAAGCAACTCGGTAAAGATCCTGTCACCTTCTTCCTCTGTGGCTTGAGTCAGGGTCTGTTAGTGGACATATAGTCAGATGTACTTAAGAATTTTAAGCATTTAATTGGTTGTTCATGTGTGAAAGTCAAGTGGCAACCTTCCTGTCTCTCTCTTGAAACCAAAACGAAAGTGACTTAAACTGCAATTCATCGACTGGCCACTAGAGACCAGCTGCAAAAGAGAGCCAATCCCATAGACCCCCATGTTAAAATGCCCAACTTTACAGCAGAAAAAGCGTCTTTTTGTACAGTCTATGGTGAAAGTGTGTACGTTTTTGTCCCATCTTCCATTGTTCACAGTACAACTCACTTTGTGAAGTCAACCAATGGCTTAATTATACTTTCTGCCTATTAATCTGAGATAAAAGAAAGAGTTTGGAAACTTATTGCACTTTTAAATGAGCCACGGACGGACTTACCCTGAGGGAACCTGCCGACTTCTGGATTTCCTTCAGCTCAGTCACTCGATCCGTAACGATCTGCATGGACTTTTCCAGCTGCCTCTGGGAATCATTGGACAACAAGACTCAAGACCATGAGTGTGTCTCAATAAGCTCTCTAGGTTGTGAATTGTTGTATAATGTGCACTTATTCGCACACTGGTAAGGACGCTGGCTCTCTACACATTGGGACACTGATTACTCTTTCCGGCAACATGCTAACGTCATTACTGCACTGTGAAAATTTTACGTAATTTTAACAGTAAAAGACTGTTTAAATGCAACGGAAAAAACATGTTAATTGGTTAATGGTATATGTACCTTTACTTTATACAGTGAAAAACTGTAATAGATCTCAGGGGACATTTTATGTAATTTTACAGTAAAATACTGTTAAATGTACAGATTTTGGAAGAACACATACCACAGGTAAAATAAATATGGTAGGAATATTTATGTTTTACGCCATTGATCTAATATAAAGTTTACGGTAAAACAACTGGAAGCTGTGGTTGCAAGTGCTTTACTGTAAAAAAAAATATGGTAGTAATAGTTTAGGTTTTATGGCATTGAACTTCAATTTATGGTATACATTTTTTTTAAAGGCAACTGTGATTGCAGCTTTACCGTAAACAAATATGATAGTAAAAAAATCAACTTTGGTTGCAAGTGCTTTACTGTAAAAAAATACAGTAGTAATATTTTAGGTTTTATGGCATTGAACTTCAATTTATGTGCTTCAATTACATGTGCTTGACCATTGATAATGCGCTTCACCATTATCAGTGTTTGCTTTAATTTGACCCTTGACTACTAACATTCGAGTTTGTGTCTGCTGTAACTGTGTTTATAAAACATTCATTATTATAAGGAAAGTTAAGAGAAAATGTGATCAGGTGATGTTGGCTACATATTGTTGATGACATAATCATCATGTAGTGGCCTGATTCACTGATCTCATATAAAGTCTTATCTTTGATTATATAAGGAATGTTTAATAAATTTCACATTATTGATTGTATTATCTCTGTGACCCTACAGCATGAGAGCCAGCACCGAACTTTGTTTGTGGATTTCATTTTTACCGCCCATATTATTATGGTGGTTATCAGTTTTTTTTATTAGCAGATTTTAGTACTTCCGTGAAATGGAATAATAACGATTTATCAGTTAATGAAATATAAGGTTTTTTGTACCATTAATTTAAGTCCCGTAAAAACTTAAAGGTTACTACTGTATTACTACTGTTTTACAGTAAAATACCGGGAACCACAGCTAATGTTTTTTTTGCCGTAAATGTAAGTCCCGTAAAACATAAAAGGTTGCTACCGTATTTAAAAGAAAAAATTTATTTTAAAAAACAACGACTGAAATTTACGGTTCAGAAATACCACACTGTCAAAAAAAAAGTGAAACTTACGGTAAAACAATGTAAACCACAGCTGCCGTTTTTTACAATAGCAGAACTGTTATCTTTCTGACATTATTTTATGCATTTTAATTTACAGTAAATTATGATTTAGCAGTGTATTAAAGATATTTAGCTGTATATTAATTATAACTGATAGCTGGATTATGTTCACTACCTGTCTTGTCTGTTTACGGTTTTTCACTGAACATTATACAATGACTTGTTCACTTCCAAAACCTTGAACGGTATTTTACTGTAAAATAACATTAAATGTACGGTTAGATCTAGATTCACAGTTATTCACCGTATATACTATGAAAACTTTCTGTTAACCAATTAACAGTTTTTCACTATAGCATTTTTCTTTTCCACTTCCAAAAACTGTAAATTTAATTGTATTTTACTGTAAAATAACATTAAATGTACGGTTAGATCTAGATTCACAGTTTTTCACTGTATATAGAGTATGAAAACTTTCTGTTAACCAAGTAACAGTTTTCACTGTCGCATTTTTACAGTCTTTTACCGTTAAAATCACGATCATTTTTACAGTGTGGAAATAACTGTGATAATCACAAAGAAAACATCAGCTGCTTTTAAGTGTCATAACATGTTGTGCCAGATGACTTGAACTAGGAATGTCTGTCTAATCATAAATCATCAGACTCACACACACTCTACCTGTTTGTCAGCTCGCTCTGTCGCCACACACACCATATCATGTCCTTTGTGCTTCATTTCCAGCATGCAAAAACAGCAGATGCATTGACCATCAGTGCGACAGTAAACCTCCAAGAGCTTCTGATGTTCACCGCACATCTTTTCCAGGAGGTTTCCAGTGACGTCCACCAGTAAGTGTGTATTCCCAGCACTCAAGTCATTGTGCATCTGAAGGTGAGTTTCACAGTACGACGCCAAACACACCAGACAAGTCTTGATGGCTTTCTCCTTCCTACCAGTGCAGGAGTCGCACGTCTGAAATCCCATCTTTTCCAGTTTCCCTGCAACCGAATCTACGGATTCATCCGGATCTGTCCCGCACTGAGGACAGGTGTCTTCCTTCAGGTCCTGGAGGCAAATTGAGCACATGTGTGTGTTCTTCTCATCTGCCATTTGCATGGAGGACTAGGAGCTCTGTGTTAAAGAGACTCGACAAACACTTTCGTTTTCGTTTCTTTTCCTCATGCCTAATTGTAGGTGGGACGCTCTAATATGTGTGTGTGTGGCCACAGATAAAGAGAGACAGAACTCATGTGAAACCTAATTGAGAGAGACAGACGGTTGCGTGCCAGTGTGTGGTTAGATAAATAACTCCAGAGTAACCAGAAAAACCAGTCAAATATTACAGTACCTCCTGTCATGTGGATATTTAAAATATTTTCTTTTTGGCTCTCATTATTGTGTGTTTGCATGCATAACCGAGGTGGATTGAGGTTAAAGACATTGTGAACTCTTGGTTTGTTGTCGCTTTTATAGTTTTTTTTTGATAAGGTTTATATATGTGGACAGAGTCCAGTTGCCGTGAGTTTGTCAAACACACTGTTGTGTAACTTGTTAAGAGAGACAATAAAACCGTATATAGGAAGAGACAAGTATAGGCTGTTGTATAATTTAATACCTTTTGTTTCATAATTTTATTTTAGGTGTTGTGTTTAAGTAATGGCATGATTCTTTGGTTCATGTAATTTCTCAGTTGAATTAAACTGTATTAAAGTATGTAATTTTCCCCATAAAGTCTTGTTTCAAAGGCTTAGATATGCTATGTTGTTAATATAGATGTGCATGTGTAGGCTATATAAAGTAGAAGTTACCTAAATAAATGACGAATTGGCAACTTTTGTTTCTAACACCAAGACTTGTATAACAATATACTTGTACGATGTAAAATTTTAAGTACAATCAACTTGGATATTTAAGTCATTTCAACTTAAATCACATTAAACTGACTTAAAAAATGAGTTGCATCTTGTATAACTTATAAAAAAAGTTGAAAATTGTTTAACTTATTTTGATGAGTTAAAGCAATGTAAAAAATGTTGTCATAACTTATTGATAATATAACGTTTTTACAGTGTATGTGTGTGTTTTGAGATGATGTCAAGTTTTCACCCCCTTCATCTAAACTTCTTCACCATCAACTTTTCACTTCACTTTTTCATTTTTTTTTTAATTATCCTTTTAGTTTGTCCTGAGCTTATCAGTTTAGCTCACAAGTCCAATTCAGTTGGTGTGCCTGAAGAATCGCCTGTCTAGAAATCAGGATTTTAGCTAAAACAAATTACTTTGAGGACAATTTAAATGATCTATTGTTATGAATCATATTTTAACTGTCATCTTTAAACAATCTCAAATTATGGCTCGGTTTAATGACATTTGAATATATATATATAGGCCTATATATATATATATGTGTGTGTGTAACCTATGTATGTATATGTGTGTATTGTATAGTGGTAAAATGCTAATCCCACAATACTTTGATATTTGATACCCCCATGCTGAATTCATTGTCATGGTATTTAAGTAGGTTATTACTGCATCGTACTTTTAAACACGATCCCTCTTGTACATGCCGATGGTGTTTATATGTAATGCTGATATGCATAAGCTATATAAAGTCACTCCGGTCATCATAACACGTGTGACGCGCCTCGTGTGTGCTTTATGAAACCTCATTCATATCTTACACAGAGCGCGCAGGCGCACAGACACACACACACACACTCCTTGCATAAAACCAGCCGTGCTCGCGTGAGCAGCAAAAGGCTCCTCTTCAGGTGAGTGTGTGTGAAAGCGGCTTTTCTCAACCACGTAATCGATGATTATTCGGCATTTTTCCGCTGTTCGGATGAAAACGACCTCGATTGTTCTGGTCTGTGTTGATTTGTGAAGCCCGTCGAGGGATATTTCAACAAAGTTTTACATAATGTTTTGCTTAGATATGAATGAACATGATGAGAAATGACGTAAGTAGTTATTTAGCTCATCATAATAAGAAAATTATAATTTTCATAATTCATAATTCAAATCAATCATAATTGAGCACTTCTTGCGTTGTTTTTGCCTCTTCATTATGACCCGCTTGCTTTAGTCCTCAGTTGTAAGTCGCTTTGCACATAGGTGTCTGCTAAATGACTGAACGTTATGTAAATGTACAAGTAGCGCTGTTTTTATGTTTATATTTAAGTTCGATTAGCATATTCGCTAGCCTAATTAGTAAGGCGTTTAAAAAATAACATTGGTGTTCAAAAACCGTGGTATTATTTACCATATTAATGTTGGAGTTTAAATTCCATGTAGGGCTTTTTCATAAATAACATAGCGTGCCATCATGAGTGTCCAAAAACATTTCTGAAAGAATCTTAGCATGTTAGTTAACTGCTGCTCACATTTAATTAGGCTACCGTATGACGGCAATACATGGGTATTTTTTAAGTGTCTATAACACTAGCATTAAAATGCCATGAATGTATGAATGCATGAATATGGGAGTTGATCAGGTATGTTGAGAATCTGTTATTAGAGTAAAAGAACAGCACAGACTATCAACATGTGAAATCTCACAGTAAAACACGCAACTGTAAAAAATATGAGCAGAAGTTTATCTTTTTACTCATTTAATTCCTTTTATAACTTACTGTATCATCTTTATATCTCTTTTAATTCCCTGGTAACACTTTACAATAAGGTTCATTAGTTAACATTAGTTTATATATTAATATACTAACCGTGAGAAATACATTTGTTACTGTATTTATTAATCTTTGTTAATGTTAGGTAATAAAAATACAGCTGGTCATGTTAGTTCACAGTGCATTAAATAATGTTAACAAATACAACCTTTGATTTTAATAACGTATTAGTAAATGTTGAAATTAATATTAACTAAGATTAATAAATGCTGTAGAAGTATTGTTCATTCTTAGTTCATGTTAACTAATGAACCTTATTGTAAAGTGTCACCAGTTCCTTTTATAACTGTTTTAATTTTCCTTGCTTTTATTTTGTGATTATTTTAATTCACTTCTGTGTAAAGCACTTTGAATTGCCATAGTTTATGAAATGTGCTATATAAATAAACTTGAATTTCGTTGCTTACACTGCAAAAAATACTTTTCTTACTCAGTATTTTTGTCTTGTTTCCAGTCCAAATATCTAAAAATTCTTAAATCAAGATGCATTTACTAGATGAGTAAAATGATAAGATATTATGTCCTGTTTTCTGGGAGAATTAATCAAAATTAAGTGAGTTGATGCTTAAAAAAGCAAAATTATCTGCCAATGGAGTGAGAAATATAAAATTAATTCAAACAATGTTGTTTCTGTTTGAATAAATTTTATATTTCTCACTCCATTGGGAGATCATTTTGCTTTTTTAAGCATCAACTCACTTAATTTTGATTAATTCTCCCAGAAAACAGGACATAATATCTTATCATTTTACTCATCTAGTAAATGCATCTTGATTTAAGAATTTTTAGATATTTGGACTGGAAACAAGACAAAAATACTGAGTAAGAAAAGCAGTGTGTGCAGTGTAATGTGCTTTGAGTTCTTCAATGATGTCCATTAACGCTCCATTAACGCTCCAGTAACGCTCCAGTAACGCTCCAGTAACGCTGATGTTGCTGCTCTGCTGTTCCTCAGGGTTAGCGATGGCGGATACGGTTGTTCAGCTGACTGGAGTCCAGGGTCTGGAGAATAATGTGTCCCGATCACACGTGTCCACCAGAGTGTCTTTCTCAGCGTCCCGGCGAGGAGCGACCGTGAGCTTTCACGACATCAACTATAACGTGAAGATGAAGAGCGGCTTCCTCTGCAAGAGGAAGATCACGCGCAAGAACATCCTCATCGACCTCAAGTGAGTCGTTTTCTCTCCCAGTTTTATTTTTTTATTTTATACAAATATTCCTTACGTCAGGTGGTTACACTAACATGTCAGAGACAATAAAACAAACAAATACATTTGGAAAAATAAAACAAACAAACAATGACAACAACAAAAGAAGTTATGTGAGTTCAAATATGATGCACACAATCCGCAGATTTGCCCATCAAATTAGTCAATGATCCCACATGCTCAAAAAACATGCTCTTCCTTTCATTAATAAAACAAATCCTTTCCAAACATTTTCATCTTTTGATGTAAAAATATTGCTTTTACTTTATTTTGATGGTCCCTTTAACACATTCAGACTATAAGTAACGTTGGACCTACATGTCCACTAACTCTCATTAGAGTATTAGTAGAGTATTAGTAGAGTATTAGTAGAGTATTAGTGGAGTATTAGTAGAGTATTAGTAGAGTATTAGTAGAGTATTAGTAGAGGGTTAGTGGAGTATTAGTAGAGTATAGTAGAGTATTAGTAGAGTATAGTAGAGTATTAGTGGAGTATTAGTGGAGTATTAGTAGAGTATCAGTAGAGTATCAGTAGAGTATCAGTAGAGTATCAGAAGAGTATCAGTAGAGTATCAGTAGAGTATCAGAAGAGTATCAGTGGAGTATTAGTGGAGTATTAGTGGAGTATTAGTGGAGTATTAGTAGAGTATTAGTAGAGTATTAGTGGAGTATTAGTGGAGTATTAGTGGAGTATTAGTAGAGTATAGTAGAGTATTAGTGGAGTATTAGTAGAGTATTAGTAGAGTATCAGAAGAGTATTAGTAGAGTATTAGTAGAGTATCAGTAGAGTATTAGTAGAGTATTAGTGGAGTATTAGTGGAGTATTAGTAGAGTATCAGTAGAGTATTAGTGGAGTATTAGTAGAGTATTAGTAGAGTATCAGTAGAGTATTAGTAGAGTATTAGTGGAGTATTAGTGGAGTATTAGTAGAGTATCAGTAGAGTATTAGTGGAGTATTAGTAGAGTATTAGTAGAGTATAGTAGAGTATTAGTGGAGTATTAGTGGAGTATTAGTAGAGTATTAGTAGAGTATTAGTGGAGTATTAGTGGAGTATTAGTGGAGTATTAGTAGAGTATTAGTAGAGTATTAGTGGAGTATCAGTAGAGTATTAGTAGAGTATTAGTGGAGTATTAGTGGAGTATTAGTAGAGTATTAGTGGAGTATTAGTAGAGTATAGTAGAGTATTAGTGGAGTATTAGTGGAGTATTAGTAGAGTATTAGTAGAGTATTAGTAGAGTATCAGTAGAGTATTAGTAGAGTATTAGTGGAGTATTAGTGGAGTATTAGTGGAGTATTAGTGGAGTATTAGTAGAGTATTAGTGGAGTATTAGTGGAGTATTAGTAGAGTATTAGTGGAGTATTAGTGGAGTATTAGTAGAGTATTAGTAGAGTATTAGTAGAGTATTAGTAGAGTATCAGAAGAGTATTAGTAGAGTATTAGTAGAGTATTAGTAGAGTATCAGTAGAGTATTAGTGGAGTATTAGTGGAGTATTAGTAGAGTATCAGTAGAGTATTAGTGGAGTATTAGTGGAGTATTAGTAGAGTATAGTAGAGTATTAGTAGAGTATTAGTAGAGTATTAGTGGAGTATTAGTAGAGTATAGTAGAGTATTAGTGGAGTATTAGTGGAGTATTAGTAGAGTATCAGAAGAGTATTAGTAGAGTATTAGTAGAGTATCAGTAGAGTATTAGTAGAGTATTAGTGGAGTATTAGTGGAGTATTAGTAGAGTATCAGTAGAGTATTAGTGGAGTATTAGTGGAGTATTAGTAGAGTATAGTAGCGTATTAGTAGAGTATTAGTAGAGTATAGTAGAGTATTAGTGGAGTATTAGTAGAGTATAGTAGAGTATTAGTGGAGTATTAGTGGAGTATTAGTAGAGTATTAGTAGAGTATAGTAGAGTATTAGTGGAGTATTAGTAGAGTATAGTAGAGTATTAGTGGAGTATTAGTAGAGTATTAGTAGAGTATTGGTGGAGTATTAGTAGAGTATAGTAGATTATTAGCTCCCTGGTAAATATATCAAAATACTGCTGTATTATTATGGCAATAGCTTACCTTACAGTAACGTTCAAATACCATGGCACGTGATTATGGCATCAAACATGACATGGTGGATAATATGTTCCAGCTTAAAAACACAGTATGCTTTGCATTGAAACTCAAACTTTCTATAAAATTAGTGTGGAGTTACAATCGTGCAAAGATGATGCATGACTTTTGTGTTTGGTTTTTGTAAGTTTTTGTAGGCATGGTTTTGTGTTTTTTTTAATGTTTTTTGTATGCATGTTTTTGTGCACATTTTTTTGTATGATGAGTACATTATGCCCATATGTTTATTTAAGCATGCTTTTTTTTTTTTTTTTTTTTATATTAGTGGTGTAACGATACCCTCATGTCACGATTCGATACATATCACGATACTGAACTCACGATACGATATTATTGCGATACTTGCGATAAGACATTTGATAAAAGGTTAACAAAAAATGTACTGTTGATCAAAATACTAAATGTGTGTGTGTAAATGAATATGCTGAAACTCAAAACAATATTCATGATTCTGAAGCTGAAAACACTGAATTATATTTAGACGAATATGCTTTCACTCTTTCACTGACTAGATATATTTAAAATAATGTTTTTTTTTACTTTTCACTGGTAACATCAGACATCTGGCATTACCACGAGCCAAAATTTTATATGCATGTTTTAATTTTTTGTATGCATATTTTTTGTATATTTGTTTATGCATGCTTTTTATGGGTGTTTTTATATGCATGTTTTTATTTAATTTTTTAGTATGCATGTTGTTGTTTGTTGTATGTTGCATGCATGCATGTATTTTTTTATGCATGTTTTTATGTTTTATTCTCTGTTTTTATGTTTATTTTTGCATGTTTTTTCATATACAAGTTATGTTTTTATAGCAATACTAGTTTTTTCAAGCTGCCAAGTGAAGTCACCTTTATTTCCATAGCGCTTTATACAATTGAAATTTTTCCAAAACAGCTTCACAGTAACAAACATGAAACCTAACATCATAATTAATGCAAACTTGATGAAATGTGAGAGTTGATGACATTAGCAGGCTGTGACTGATGTCACGAGTCCCTCTGACAGTGTTCAGTGTCGTCTTGTGTTGATCTGGCCCGCGGATCTCGTGTTCAGACTCGTCTTCTGCCTCGCTCTTCCTCTTCTGTGCGCTCGATGCGAACACTGGCACGCTTGGCCCTTGCCTGAGCGAATCTGATGGTAGTATCGTGTTTTCATTCCTGGATTTGACATCCTTTCAGAGGTCGTCGGTCTGAGAACATGCGGACGTGATGCGGGGTAACATGCGCCGTGTGATTGTGTGATTGGGGAAACCACCAGGGAGGGCTTGTGTGAATTGAAGGAAGGAAATGTGGAGATGTTTCAACCAACTCCAGCTAAACCTGAACTCAACAACACGTGTGTGTGTGTGTGTGTTCACTGCACAACTGCTGTTCTTACTCAGTGTTTATGTCTTGTTTACAGTCCAAATATCTCAAAAAATAAAATAAATCAAGATGCATTTGCCAGAAAAGTAACATGCTATAAGATATTATGTCCTGTTTTCTGGGGGAATTAATAAAAATGAAGTGAGTTGATGCTTAAAAAAGCAAAATTATCTGCCAATGGAGTGAGAAAAATAATCTTAATTCAAACAGAAACATTATTTTTCTCACTCCATTGGCAGATAATTTTGCTTTTTTTAAGCATCAACTCATAGCCTAACTTCGTCATACTCATATTCTAGTCAGACTGTGAGTCTGATGCTGCTCCATAGGGCTTTGATTATGAGGCGTGTCTTTACCGAACCAGGAAAAAAAACATTTTTATGAGCGTCTTTTACTTGGTCCTCCATGAGTGCGACCAAAGGAGAAACCACACCGACCACATCCCGTCTTCTTAGCGACCATCGGAGCCAGCTGATAAAATACACTTTTGCTGAATCCCGTAGGAAGGACGGCAAACACATCTTTCCGATCGACAAATGCCTTGATTGCAGTTCTCTGTTCGTCTTTTATAATGAATGCGCTGTCGATTTCTTTTACGACAGACGCGATAGCGGGATCTGTACATCTCAGTTCTCCAGCGGCGGCCATCTCTGAGGGAAACCAGTTCAGCCCAAGCGCTCCAGCTCAGGGGGGAAACCAATTCAACCCAAGCGCTCCATCTCTGAGGGAAACCAGTTCAACCCAAGCGCTTCATCTCTGAGGGAAACCAGTTCAACCGAAGCGCTCCATCTCTGAGGGAAACCAGTTCAGCCCAAGCGCTCCATCTCTGAGGGAAACCAGTTCAACCCAAGCGCTCCATCTCTGAGGGAAACCAGTTCAACCCAAGCGCTCCAGCTCAGGGGGGAAACCAATTCAACCCAAGCGCTCCATCTCTGAGGGAAACCAGTTCAACCCAAGCGCTCCATCTCTGAGGGAAACCAGTTCAACCCAAGCGCTCCAGCTCTGAGGGAAACCAGTTCAACCCAAGCGCTCCATCTCTGAGGGAAACCAGTTCAACCCAAGCGCTCCATCTCTGAGGGAAACCAGTTCAACCCAAGCGCTCCAGCTCAGGGGGGAAACCAATTCAACCCAAGCGCTCCATCTCTGAGGGAAACCAGTTCAACCCAAGCGCTCCATCTCTGAGGGAAACCAGTTCAACCCAAGCGCTCCAGCTCTGAGGGAAACCAGTTCAACCCAAGCGCTCCATCTCTGAGGGAAACCAGTTCAACCCAAACGCTCCATCTCTGAGGGAAACCAGTTCAACCCAAGCGCTCCATCTCTGAGGGAAACCAGTTCAACCCAAGCGCTCCATCTCTGAGGGAAACCAGTTCAACCCAAGCGCTCCATCTCTGAGGGAAACCAGTTCAACCCAAGCGCTCCATCTCTGAGGGAAACCAGTTCAACCCAAGCGCTCCATCTCTGAGGGAAACCAGTTCAACC